TTCCTCTGGGAATGCAGTGCAGAAGCCGTGCTGGTGTTCCAGAATCTCCAGATTATATCCAGGTAGGAATTCCTGGCTCCTCCCTCTGGGCTCACATCTCCCAATGGTATGCTGTAGTTCTTATCAGCCATGCAGTGACATTCAATGGCCTCTTATCAGCAGATGTCCCCTGCAGGGAGGAGTGATTGTGTTCACTCAGAGAGAGATAAGGCAAACTGCCCACTGGACAAAAGACAACTGCCACATAGAGGGTAATAAATGCATCTTGCCTTGCAGTCTGGAACAGAGACCCACAGGGACTTTGGTGTGACAGAGGCCAAATCCTGAATCTCCCCGACCCTGACTGCCTGGCTCAGAGTCAAATCGATTGCTTGTGGCTTTTTCCAAATTTATACTTATAATTTAATAAATTTCCTTAATTATTAAATTGCACTATTCATTTATAACACAGGGGTTGCCCTGACCCAAATGCAGCCCCTGGGCTAGTTAAACCTCAGCAGATTCCCACTTGTGGAGCTGGTTCAGGTCCCTCTGCCTGGCCCCTGCTGCATTCCTGGTGCCCTCCCGCAGCTCCTGACCAGCTTTGTGCTGCTCCCTGCAGCCTTTCCTTGGGAAAGGCTCCCTGGAGCCTTCACGTGCCCAGCTGAGGGCTCCAGATGGATCAGGACACTGGGGACCGAGTTTGGGGCAGTGATAACAATGTGTAAAACTGAAACACGATGCCAGCAAAATATTACACAAGATAAGGGCGCTTATCAGCTGTAAAGAATGTTCTGCTGGCTTCTGATTGCTCCTATCTTCTATTTTTATCAGTTTCCTCCTGCTTGTCTCTGAACAAGTTTCCAGATTTAGCAGGTCTGACCCAGCCAGCTGCAAATAAAGATAGCCCTGATAACTGCAAATGGCACAGGGCAGCTGGCTCCAGCCTCACACAGCCTTGGCTGGGAAGGGTTTTCCAGCTGGACTGTTCAATCCCAGGGGTCTCATCTCCTGATATAGGGTCTCCTTGAGCCAGATCTTATAAGCTTTTGGAGATTTATGTCACACCCAAGATAGCTCAGCTACTTTAAAAGGCATAAAAGCAGCAGGATGTCTTCTGTGGCAGTGCTGGAAACAGAAAAGTTTTAATAAAAGGCAAAATAACAAAACTCTTTACAGAGAAAAACTGAGCTAGGTGCAAGAGGCTCTTGCTCCTGGTAAAACACCTCACAAAAGCCATTGGTTTCTTTGTTCTCTTCTTTTTCTAGTAAATTGCTCAGGTGGGACTTTTTGGCTCTTTGTCCAGTTGGCTGTCCTTAAGTTTAAGGTGAAGTCCCCAAAGTCCTATGAGATGCCTTTTCACCTAATTGAGGAGAGAAACTTCAGGGCTTTTTTCCTTTTTAAGGAGGCAAAGGATAGTTTTGTCACTCCATCAACAGAGGGCACATTGCTATCCTGTCCCATCCCTGCAGCTCTGCAGATTTCTGCTGCTAAAATAAAACCCCACTTGCTGCAGGTACAGGTTCTCCATGGGATGGGAAAAAAGAGCTTGGAGTTCTGCAGGGTGGGGAGGGCAAAGGCTGAGCCCTCAGTTCCAGCAAGTCAGAGCAGCACAGATTGGCTTCCCTGGCTCTGGAGATGAACTCCTGGAGTCATTCCTGGGATGGGCTTCCCTCAGTGTTGGCCTCACCTTTCCTTCCAGCTGGCTGTCCCAAACTGAGCCTCACAGCTCTGTGGGAGTGGATTTCTTGTGGGCAGGCAGAGATGGGCTTTGAACTGACAGGAGGATTGGGTTGGAGACAGGGATGGCCCAGGGATCCATTCAGCCACAGCTGCTCTGGGAATTCTATTCCAGGGCCTGCCCACCCTGCCAGGGAACAACTTCCCCCTAATATCAAATCCCTTCTCCTGTCACTCCATCTCCTTGTAAAAAGTCCCTCTCCAGCCCTCCTGAAGTCCCTTCAGGAACTGGAAATCTTCTGTGAGTTTCCCCTGAAGCTCTGATGATCCACATTTCCAGTAGATCCCTAAACCCCAACCCCTCCCTATGCTGTCCATTTTTTTCTCTTCAGACATAAAAGAAAGAAAGGAAAACACATTTATCAGAATGTTCAGGAGAAGGATTCTCAGTATCCCATCATTGCCAAGATCCGATCAAATCCTACTTTGAGGCCATTCCCTGGGTGCTGTCCCTGCAGGCCTTGTCCCCAGTCCCACTCCAGCTCTCCTGGAGCCCCTTCAGGCCCTGCCAGGGACTCTGAGCTCTCCCTGCAGCTTCTCCATCTCCTGGACATTCCCAGCTCTCCCAGCCTGGCTCCAGAGCCCTCAGAGCACCTCCATGCCTTCCTCTGCACTCACCCCAACACTCCCATGGCTTTTTGCAGGCCCGCTGTCACTGCATGGAGCTGGAGGTGCCCCCCAGGCCTGGCTGCCCTGGGCAGGGAGCCGTGCCCAGCTGGCATCGGAGCCAGAACGGCCCTGGGGGCTGCAAACCCCGGGAGCCAGCTCCAGGAGAGGAATTCCCCGCTGATATTTCGGTGTTTGTGCAGCTCTGGGTGCTCTGGGAGAGGCCCCAGCAGTGCCTGGCCCTGCTCAGTCGGGTGGAGAGAGGGGACGGGTGAGTGGGTGCCCGCTGGGGAGGATCTGCCCCCTGCCCCGAGCCTGTGGAACAGGAAAGAAACAACATCTGAGGCCACGAGCAGGGCTTGAAATTCACATTTTATTGCTCTGTACAAGTGAAAAAAACAGAGGGGTGGAGAGAAGTCCAAGACTGAAAGGTGCAAGGCCATGATGGGAATCCACCACAGGCACCCAGGGGTGAGGGTGGCACAGCGAAGCTCTTCTCCTTTTTTATTTCAGTTAAATAAAAAGGCAGAGCTGCTAAAAGGGGGAAAAAAAATGGTGCGCAATTAATGCTGAGCATCACCCTCCTCACAAATAACCGCCCTGGAGCTATGAAAAGAAAATAACCCAAAATCCCTGAAAATACCTGGGGCGGAGAGAGAGCTTCACTCCAAGGGTTTAATGCCATTAAATGTTTTCATGAATTGAAGGTTTTAACTAATTAAAGTGTTTCATGTCATTAAAGGCAATTTTTGGTGCGAGTTTAAGCTAAGTCCAAGGTTCTGGCTCTGTAAATCCTCTCCTGGGGCAAGTCCTAAACATTGAGATCCCAAAAGAGTAGAGCCCAAGCTGAGAAATCAACATTTTTCCAGAGCTGGGCTTGGGTTTTCATTCCTCCAGAGGAAAAAGTGTCTGGAATAATTAAGTTGCTGGAGATTTCCCAAGCTGCTCGAGACACCAACATTGTGGATCTTGTCCTCAGCTTAATGGTAGGCACTATATAAACATCATTTTTAAAAACCAACCCTGAGTTTTGAGAGTCCTGAGTGCTCTGGCAACACAGACACGGCTGGAATATTGCTTGGCTGGAAGTGCAGTGCTAAAGAAGTGCCTGGAAAAGGGCTCTGCTGGGATTGCTGCCCTCTCCAAGATCTCTGCCCTCACCTTGCCTTGGAAGCAGCTGCTCTGCTCCTCTCCCCTGCCTCCCCGACTTCTCTTTCCTCTCCAGCAGCTAAAAATGTGATTTGTGTCTGCAGGGCAGAAATAAAACCCCCACTCCTGCCCGGAGTGTTCCTTCCTTCACCCCAAGCTGACAGAGCTGTTCTTTCAGGGATCACAATGCCCAGGGGAGATGGATTTCTCCTCTCAAAGGCAGGGGAACGTTGGTGCCACAGCAGCGGAATTTGGCTGCCCTGTCCCTCCTGTGGAGGAGGAGAAAGGAGGGAAGGGCAGGAAAACCTTCCTGGGTTTTGTGGGGAATCCTTGGATGGGCACCTGGGAGCTGCTCATGGAATCGGAGCTAAGCACAGACAGCACCTCTGGGCGATTAAACAGCAAAAGTTATGTAATTGTTGTTCCCACAGTGGAAATTCCCCTCCCAACCAGGGGCTGGCACTTGGTGCAATAATTATTGGGATTGAAATTTGGGAGTGTTCCCCACATCCATGGCACAGAGCCACTCTTTGCACATGGATTTTGCTGCCAGGATCAAGCCCCATCCATAGGAAGGAAATTAAATTGACATCAAGAGCAGTCTGGCAGACCTGCTAGGAATCAGAATCCTGGAATCACTGAGGTTGGAAAAACCCTCCAAGATCTTTGAGACCAGCCCTTAACCCAGCAATGACCATGCCCCCAAGTGCCACACCCATCACAGTCACTAAAAGTCCCTCCAAAGTCTGTGTTCTTCCATGGAAATACTTTTCAGACAAAAAATTAGGAATCTTTTCCTAATATTTTATCACTAAGAGGGGCACAATTCTGAAGGAGACAGGCTAGCACAGCACTGTACAATTTATAAAATCATTATTCTAATCTGGACAAAAATGTGAATGAAATCTTTCAGCTGCTGTTCCTTGGGAGAATTTGGTCTTTCTGGAAAACGATTGTCTAAGCCATGCTTGGCAATTAGCACCTCTGCGGTTCTAATTAGGCCCTAATTAGGCTCTAATTTCACACCAGCAACACCAAGATTTGCTTTTTGGAGAATCAGAGAATCAGGGTTGGAAGGGAGATCAAATCCATCCCATTCCCATGGCAGGGACACCTCCCAGTGTCCCAGGCTGCTCCAGCCCCAGTGTCCAGCCTGGCCTTGGGCACTGCCAGGGATGCAGGGCAGCCCCAGCTGCTCTGGGCACCCTGTGCCAGGGCAGATTCATTCCCAAGATCCCGTCCATCCCTGCCCTGTGAGGGACGAGGCCCCGGCTCAGGAGGTGAAGCTGATGAGTCCGTGGTGCTCCGTGTGATTCCCGATGTTGCCTCACGGTGATTCCCACACGATGGCCATGCCAGGCTCTGGGGCAGCACTGGGATCTCCCAGATCCATCAGCTTCACCAGCACTGCTCCTGCAGCCTGGCCAGCCCCTGTGGCTGTGCACAAGGACCAGCAGCTCCCCGTGCCCACAGCGGGCACCGCTCGCATCGTCCCCCGCGCCGCGCGCCATCCTCGTCCCCTTTCCCTAGGAAGATTTCTCCTCAGGGATCTTCCTGGATGGCTGCTCCACGGCCAGCTGGTTCTCCAGGACACAGCAGAGCTTGTAACTCTCGAGGACCTTGGCCTGGATGTACTCCCTGTCCTTCCTGTGCCAGACATCCGTGGCGATGTAGGTGTTGTAGGGGTCGCGGGGCCCCTCGAGGCGCCGCGCCCGCAGGTTGGTCACCATCACCCCCACGCTGAAGAAGCCAAAGAGCCCCAGCATCAGCAGCACGTAGATGATGGCCAGGCTGTCGCTGGCACTGCTCTCCTGGGGAGCAGCTGAGCTGTTGGAGCGTTCCAGGCACTCCTGGAGCAGTTTGGAGAGGAGCAGGTCCAGGGCCGTGGTGTTCGACAGCGCCAGCATTGGGGATTTCTGTCCTTGGCAATTCTTCCCTCCTTTGGCTGGAAAAGGATAAAAGTCAGGGGGTGGCATCAGATAAATGTTGGATTCAGCTCTTTTCTGACCCAGAGATGGGGTAACTGAGAGGTGTTTTAAAAATCTTTATTCCATTTTTTGTCGCATGAGAAGGATGAGACAATACAGATGTTATAATTCACAATCAGAAGCCAATTATTTCCTAATTACACTGCACTATAAATGTTTCTTGGCCTTCCACCTTTAGCCCTAAAGCCAATCATCTAAAATTACCCCTCATGGGTCCTACTACATTTTATCTTTCACAGTTCTATCTCTCTAAACTATCCAGTCTTATTTGCAAGGCCACCTTTTGAAACATTTTTCTAGCTCCATTTCTCTTTCAGAAATGTCTGTCCTATTCCAGAGCATTTCTAAGTCAGCATTTCTTGTCTCAAGGTTTGCATAGAGGTGCACACTGAGAGCTCTCTACAAATCCATTTCTCACATTTACCCCTCTCTCTTTAACAGAAAAAACTTCTTTGATGAATCCCACAGATAAAGGTGGGATTTCCTCTGTCTCCCTTTCCTGGTTCCCCTCCTCAGTGAGGGATTTGAGAGCCTGGTTGTGAGGCCTTAATTTTAGCTTTCATATTTTTCAGGGCTTCCCACAGCTGTAAATCCACGATAGCAGCTCAGCAAATCCTCCTCCAGAACACTCAGCCGTTGTTGTGTGGGGATTTGGAGGAGGAAGCTCCTCAGAACCATTCCTAATCCGTGCAGGCTGAAAGGGAGCCCGGGGCAGGGGTGACACCGGTGGCAGGGCACGGTGGCAGCTCAGGGAGCTTTTCCAGGAGCTCTGCGTGGGAGGGAGCTGGGCTGGGAATGACCCTGCAGGAACAGCAGGTACCTGGAGCCTTCCTGGGCTTTGTTCGTGCCTTGCTGGGGGAGAAAAGCTGCACAAGGAGCTGCTGAAACACACGGACAGAGCCAGGGCTCTGCTCATGTCCCCAGCGTCCCTCAGGAGGAGAACATTCCCCTGGAGTACTCACAACCAAGGGAACACAGCTCCTGCAGGCATGGAGGGGGTCTCACACACAGCAATTAATTGTTAATTAATGACCCCTCATGCTGATCCTCACTGTGAACTCTTTATCTGAGCAGTCACGCGTCTGAGGTTGAGAAATTCAGCACAGGCTGGGGAATTCTTGTGGAATCATGGAATGGTTTTGGATGGAAGGGACCTTAAATCCCACCCAGTGCCACTCCTGCCATGGCAGGGACACCTCCCACTGTCCCCAGTGTCCAACCTGGAACTGAACATTCCAGGGATCCAGGGACGGAATTCCATCCCAGCCCTGCCCACCCTGCCAGGGAACAATTCCCCATTGCCAAGATCCCATCCAGCCCTGCCCTCTGGCACTGGCAGCCATTCCCTGCCTCCTGTCCCTCCAGCCCTTGGGAATTTTTCTCTCTCCAGGTTTTTGCAGCTCCATCCCAGGCCAGGTTGGACACTGGGGCTGGAGCAGCCTGGGACAGTGGGAGGTGTCCCTGCCATGGCAGGGGTGGCTCTGGGTGGGCTTTGAGCTCCCTCCCAACCCAAACTAATCTGGGATTCTGGGATTTTATGGCCTGGCCCTGATCCCTGCAGCCCTGGGGTGCCAGAGCTGCCAAAGCCACCCCAGGTTCTGAGCCCAGCTGGGAGGGAGAGCCCAAGGCAGCCTCAGAGAGCTCCTGGTGCCTCCCTGGGAGCTGAGGCCATGGGAATGTCCCAGCAGAGCTGCAGGGTGGCTCTGGACTCCAAACACAGGGAATGGCAGCTGGGTCTGGCTCCTGATGCAGCCGTGGGGGTGGCAGGGCTGGCTGGCACCCCCTGACTGGCACTGGCTGCTCCCCAGCAAAGGCACAGCACAGGGCTTGTGTGCTCCAAAGGGGCTGGATCCTGATCCCAGAGATGGATAATGATCCCAGAGCTGGATAATGATCCCAGAGCTGGATAATGATCCTGCAGCCTGATCCTGATCCCAGAGCCTGGGAACTGATCCCACAGACTGGATCCTCATCCCACAGCCTGGTTCCTGCTCCTTGACCCTGGATCCTGATCCCACAGACTGGATCCTGATCCCAGAGCTGGATAATGATCCCAGAGCTGGATAATGATCCCAACAGCCTGATCCTGATCCCAGAGCTGGAAAATGATCCCAGAGCTGGATAATGATCCTACAGCCTGATACTGATCCCAGAGCCTGGGAACTGATCCCACAGACTGGATCCTGATCCCAGAGCTGGATAATGATCCCACAGCCTGGTTCATGACCCTAGAGCTGGATCCTGATCCCATAGCCTGAATCCTAATCCCAGAGCCTGGGAACTGATCCCACAGACTGGATCCTGCTCCTTGAACCTGGATCCTGCTCCTTGAACCTGGATCGCGCTCCCAGAGCCTGGATCCTGCTTCTTGAACCTGGATCCTGCTCCTTGACCCTGGATCCTGTTCACAGAGCCTGGATCCTGCTTCTTGAACCTGGATCCTTCTCCCACAGCCTGGATCCTGCTCCCAGTGGAGGCCACCCACCCCAGTGGGCACCTTTAGCTCCAGCCCAGCCCTTCCTGCCCTCTTTGGGCTGTGCTGATCTCCAGGTGCTGCCAGAGGCTGCTGCTGCCACCAGGGTTTAAATGGGAAAAGGGAATTTTCTGTCCTGGAATGCACCTAAAATCTGTGACACTCAGCTTTGGAGCTCAACAGGAATTTTGTCCTCCAGCATTGGGAGCTGCTGCAGAGAGCCCAGAGGAGGCTCCAGGATGGGCAGAGGGATGGAGCAGCTCTGCTGGCAGGAAAGGCTGGCACAGCTGGCATTGCTCACCTGCACAGGAGAAGCTTTGGGCTGAGCTCAGGGTGGCCTTGCAGGGCCTGGAGGAGCCCCAGGAAAGCTGGAGAGAGACAATGGCCAGGGGATGCAGGGACAGCACACAGGGAATGGCCTCAGACTGGTAGATTTCCATTCCAGTCCCCTCATTTCCCTGTGATGGAAATGAGGGGCTGGGATGGAATTCCATCCCTGGATCCCTGGCAGTGCCCAAGGCCAGGCTGGACACTGGGGACAGTGGGAGGTGTCCCAGGGGTGGCACTGAGTGGCCTTTGAGGTCCCTCCCAGCCCAAACCATTCCAGGATTCCATAAAATCTGACTCTTGGCTGCCTCTATTTCTCCTCCCTGCTGAGGTTTCAATGTGATTTCTATCACACAATCAGAGCTGGATGTGCAGTGACACATTGTAGCAGCATTTCTCAGCTCTCCCACATCAGAGCCCCCCTATTTCCATTTCCACCAAGCAAACATCTCCAACCCTCTCTCCTATTGCTGCCAAAAGCATCAGCAGCCAGCCCCAGAAACCCAGGCAGCTTGGAGGAACACTCACCTTTAGAAAACACAGCTCTGTCTGCATTTCCTGTGGTTTGATGACACAGAAATAAATCCTGTGCCACTCAGGAGCAAAAACCAGCCCAGCACATCACCCACCTCCCAGACTCTCTGCCTCCCAAATGCCCTGGTGCTCCTGCAGGGCCGTGAAGGATGCAGTGACCTCCCTGGCTCGTTTCCCTGCCATTCCTTCAGGGATGAGTGGCTGTGACACCGTCCCCATTGCACAAGGGAGCCCCATTTCCTCACCCCACTGCCGGGAATTTGGCAACCCAGGGCAGCATCCAGGGCACTGCTCGTGCCCCAGCTGGGAGGGATCTGCAGCTCTGGGCTCTGCAAACGCCTCCTGCAGCCCCCACCTGGCTGGGAGAGCCCCTCCTGCCCTTCCCTGCCCACCTGGGCAGCACCACCACAGCTCCTGGCGTGGCTTTGATCAAAGAGCAGCACCCCTGCAGTGGGGGGCATGGAATTGTCCCCAAATCCCACTGAATTGTCCCCAAACCTCCACTGAATTGTCCCCAAACCCCCAGTGAATTGTCCCCAAACCCCCACTTTTCTCTGCTCACAAGCCAAAAATTCAGATTTCTTGCAATAGCATGTAGACAACAGCATATAGACATCCCATCCCATTATCCCATCTCAATCTCTCCCATCCCGTCCCAAGCTGAAGATGAATCCAACCCCATCCCATCAATCCCATCCCAACCCATCCCATCCAACCCCATTGGGCACTGAATTGTCCCCAGACCCCCAGTGAGTTGTCCCCAAACCCCCACTTTTCTTTGCTCACAATTCAGTTTTCTTACAATAGTATATAGATTTCCCATCCCCTCCCATTATCCCATCCCAGTCTCAATCCAATCCCATCCATCCCAATCTATCCCGTCCCATCCCATCCCTAGCTGAAGATGAATCCAACCCCATCTCATCAATCCCATCCAACCTCACTGAGAACTGCATTGTCCCCAAACCTCCACTGAACTGTCCCCAAACCTCCACTGAACTGTCCCCAAACCCCCAGTGAGTTGTCCCCAAACCCCCACTTTTCTCTGCTCACAAGGACGAAATTCAGATTTCTTGTACACAGCATGTAGAAAACAGCATATAGATATCCCATCCCCTTATCCCATCCCATCCCATACCAAGCTGAATACAAGTCCAACCCCATCCCATCAATCCCATCCAACCTCACTGGGCACTGAATTGTCCCCAAACCCCAGTGAACTGTCCCCACACCCCCAGTTTTCTCTGCTCACAAGACAGAAATTCAGATTTCTTGCAATAGCATGTAGATAACGGCACATAGGTATCCCATCCCATTACCCCATTCCAAACTGAACATGAGTCCAACCCCATCCCATCAATCCCATCCCAATCCATCCCATCCAACCTCACTGGGCACTGAATTGTCCCAAACCCCCACTGAATTGTCCCAAACCCCCACTGAATTATCCCCAAACCCCCACTGAATTGTCCCAAACCCCCACTGAATTATCCCCAAAGCCCCACTTTTCTCTTCCCACAAGCCAGAAATCCATTTTCTCGCACGCAGCCCGCAGATATCCCGCTATTCCAGGGTGGAACCCTATCACTGCTCCCCAATCCCACCCATCCCAGAGAATCCCGGGCTGCAGCAGCCCCGGGGAGCAAACGCAGCACGGCTGGAGCAGCAAACAAACCCCGGCAGGGCAGCCTGGCTCTGTTCCTCCATCGGTTCAGCCCTGCTGAGCTCCGGGCTCCTGCACAATTCCCATTTCCCCAGCCCTGCTGAGCTCTCGGCTCCTTCACATTCCCATTTCCCCAGCCCCGCTCCCGTCCCGGCTGCCCGCACACACCTGGGGGGCTCCAGGTGTGGGCACGGAGGAGATGCCACTCTGGGCTGGCTCTGGCTGCTGCTGCTGCCACCAGCCCCGTGTCACTGTCCCGTCCTGGCACGGCGAGCAGGGAAAAGCCGGGCTGGGAGGAAGAGGAGGAGGAGGAGGAGGGAAGGAGGGAGGGCAGCAGAGCCGTGCCGGGGCAGGTGCCCAGGTGGGAGGTGCTGAGGGGGCACCGCAGCTCCTGGCATGGCGGATGTGCAGCCAGAGCAGCACGGGAGAGAGGGAACCGTGGAATTGCTGAGTGGGAATGACCCCCAGGGATCCCCCGGTGCCAGCCCAGAGCCCACCAAGCCCAGCCTGGGCATCCCAAAGGCTCCTGGAGCTGTGGCAGCCTCGCGGCCGTGCCCATTCCCTGGGCAGTGCCAGCACCCTCTGGGCAAGAACCTTGCCCTGAAACCCAACCTAAATCCCTGCAGGCCCAGCCCCAGCCGTTCCCTGGGTGCTGCTCCAAGCCCAGGCTGCTCCAGGAGGGCTCCGGGGTTGGGACATTCCCAGAGGGGCTGCCCTGGCCCCTGGCACTCCCCCAGCTCCATCCTCCTCGAATATTGCACAGTTTGGGCTGGCAGGAGGAAGGGGGGTCATTTCAGAGTTCCCCTCAAACACCTCCCTGGAGGGAGCACTGGCTCCCTGCAGCCACCACCAAAACCTCAAAAACCAACCCAAAACCTCAAAACCCACCCCAAATCTCACCCTGTGCTTCCCACGGGAGGGAGAAGCTCTGTGGTCACCAGTGAGCCAGAGGGGGTTCATCAGAGCCCACCTGGGAGCTACAAAATGAAATTATCAGCATTGAAAGATGCTTTGAGCTGCTTCAGAGGATGCTGCTGCTGTGGGGGGACATCCCCTCAGCATTCCCATCCATCCATGGGGTGACATCCCCTCAGCATTCCCATCCCTCCATGGGGTGACATCCCCTCAGCATTCCCACCCATCCTGTGGGGTGACATCCCCTCAGCATTCCCATCCCTCCATGGGGTGACATCCCCTCAGCATTCCAATCCATCCATGGAGTGACATCCCCTCAGCATTCCCATCCATGGGGTGACATCCCCTCAGCATTTCCATCCCTCCATGGGGTGACATCCCCTCAGCATTCCCATCCATGGGGTGACATCCCCTCAGCATTCCCATCCATCCATGGGGTGACATCCCCTCAGCATTCCCATCCATGGGGTGACATCCCCTCAGCATTCCCATCCCGTGGGGTGACATCCCCTCAGCATTCCCACCCATCCTGTGGGGTGACATCCCCTCAGCATTCCCATCCATCCATGGGGTGACATCCCCTCAGCATTCCCATCCATGGGGTGACATCCCCTCAGCATTCCCATCCCGTGGGGTGACATCCCCTCAGCATTCCCATCCATCCATGGGGTGACATCCCCTCAGCATTCCCATCCCGTGGGGTGACATCCCCTCAGCATTCCCATCCATGGGGTGACATCCCCTCAGCATTCCTGGGGTAGGACACATCTCAGTCCATCCCATCCCATGGCCCTGGCAGGGACAGTGGCCCCTAGACCCTCATCAGCTGCAGTAAACAGGGATGGGATTTATGGGATTTGTGGGATGAGATGGGGTGGGATGGGACAATGGGATGGGATGGATAGGATTGGATTGGATGGGATTGTACTGAGACTGGCATTGGGATTGGGTTTGGGATTGGGATTGGATTGATGGGATGTGGTTGGATGGGATGGAATCCCTGGGATGGGATGGGTTGGGATGGGATTGATGGGATGGAGTTGGATTCATACTCAATTTGGGATGGATGGGATTGGATTGAGATTGGGATGGGATGGGATTTATGGGGTGGGATGGGTTGGGATGGGGTGACATGGGGTTGGATTGAGATTGGGATGGGATGGATTGGATGGAGAATGGGATGGGGATGGGGTGGGATAAAATGAGGTGGGATTGGATCAGATTCAGATTGGGATGGGATGGGTTAGGAAGGATTGGGATGAATGGGATGGGATTGGATTGAGATTGGGATTGGGATGGGTGGGATGGGACAATGGGATGGGATGGGATGAAGGGATGGAATGGGATGATGGGATGGGACGGCCCCTCCTTTCCTGACACTCTTTGCCAGCTGCTGTTGCCTGGGCAGCAGCTGGAGAGAGGCACTGAGGTGGTGATGGAGGCATCAATTTAAACAAATGGATGAAAATGTCCCAGCATTTCCTTGCTGCCCACTTTCCCAGAGCTTTATTGCATTTTCCCTCAGGGTGAGGACACAGCCCCTGCTTCCCCTGCCTGAGCTGTTGCTGCATCTCAGTGAGGGAGCAGCCTGTGGGATTCATTTCCACACTGACCCAAATCTCTGGTGCAATCTGCCTTTCTGCCTCAGTTTCCCCCTCCAGGGCAGCCCAGCTCCATTCTCCCCTGGGTGTGAGGGTGTTCGCAGGGGTCTGAGGATGAGGGAAGAGATGAGAATGTTGACTCCATGTTTCAGAAGGCTGATTTATTATTTTATGATATATATTACATTAAAACTATACTAAAAGAATAGAAGAAAGGATTTCATCAGAAGGCTGGCTAAGAATAGAAAAAGAAAGAATGATAACAAAGGCTTGTGGCTCGGATTCTCTGTCCCAGCCAGCTGATTGTGATTGGCCAGTGATCAGAAACAACCACATGAGACCAATCACAGATGCACCTGTTGCATTCCACAGCAGCAGATAATCAATGTTCACATTTTGTTCCTGAGGCCTCCCAGCTTCTCAGGAGGAAAAATCCTAAGGAAAGGATTTTCCATAAAAGATGTCTGTGACACCTGGGAAGCTGGAGCAGGATCTGAGCCTCTTGTTTTCACAGCCCGCAGGGAATTCCCCCTTCGAGGTGAATTTTAAAGCCTGGCACAGGAGCTGGGGGCCAAGGAAGAGGGAGAAGCTGAAGGGGTGGCCCAGGCTCAGGAGGAGTCACAGGGGGGGAGATTCCCTTCCCCAGAACAGTTTGAGGCCAAGCACGGCCACCAAAACCCTGGGATGGGAGGAAATGTTGTGGCTGAATGTGTGAACTCCCCAAATGGCTGAAAGGTGCCCCAGAGTTTAGCCCAGCCCGGGAGCATCGCCAGGAAAATCGGCTGGTTGGATGGGCCAGGGCTGATTAAGGAAAGTGCACTTGTGGATAAATCCATTTGAGGAAATTAATGGCTAAAATCAGCAATGCAGGAGGCTCAGAAATGGGGTTAGGGCAGCAAAGGCTCCCTCTGGGGTGGCCACAGTGAGCTGGATCCAGGAGAGATCCACGAGGGAGGAGGAGGAAGAGGAGGAGGAGGGTGTGGGTGGTCAGGGACAGCACAGCC